AAACATTCGTCTTATCAAGTTCTACAACAATTATCTTCTTTTATTATCTTAAATAGTTCCCATCATTTTGAGAAACGCGATACAATCGATTGGTCCAACTAGCACAACTTTCAAAGACAACTGATTCGCGAATCTTTTCCACCGATGATTTTAATTGCTGAATCAATGTTGTTTTTGACTTGACTTTGTTCCAATTGATAGCGTTGGCAAATTCGTCCCAGATTGAATAGTCTAGAGGATTTAAATCCGGACTATTTGCAGGCCAACGATCCTTGTCAATAAATGATGGAAAATTATCGCGGCACCATTGTTGCGTTAAATGATGTTGGTGTGGCTTTGCGCCGTCCTGCTGAAAGATCCAGTCATTACCGAAGACCTTATTGCCATACTCTAAGGCTATAGGAAGCACTTTTTCGATATAGCAAGCATGATCGACAGTTCCTTTATCTATTATCACCAAGGGTGTGATACCCTCAGAGCAGACGCCCAGCCACACCATTACTTTCTGTGGGAATTTCCGTTTTTGCTTAACGCCACCTTTTTTATCGGCATCAGCACGATCTACCGCCCACACTCGATCATTCTGAGAATTATAGACACCATCGATGTCAAAAAATTTCTCGTCAGAAAAGAGAATTTTCAAAGTCTCTTTTTTTCGAAAATTTGTTCGAACCCAATTCGCAAATTGTTTTCGCTTAACTTTCTGATCATCAGAAAGCGCCGGTTCGATTATTTTCTTATAGGGACGTAGCCCTAGATCGTTTCTTAATATTCGCCGAACACTCCTATCAGAAATATCGAGCTCCATCGATAGTTTTCGGGCTGATACTCTTTTTTTACGGCGTAAACGGTTCTTTACTTTTCGGATGTTTTCCTTGGTTCTCACAATGCGTGGACGACCGGGTGGACTTGCTAGTTTGATACCACCGGATCGCCTGATCATTTGGCACCATCTTTTGATTGTTGCTAGACCGACTCCGCCGTTCAAATCGCGATAGATTTCTGTCGGAGTATCACCATTCTGGTACTTTGAAAGTACGATATTTTGTACGTCTTTACTTTTCATTATTCGGAAAGTGATGAGATTTACTGATTCGAACGAAAAATACCCAATTTTGTAGAGAATCGATAGACGAATCGATCGGAAAAGGAATCACGTGGATTGGATGAAATTTGAGCGAGTTATTCGAAAAATACGGAGAGGCTCATTTATTCTGCCGCACCCGTTATNAGTATCACCATTCTGGTACTTTGAAAGTACGATATTTTGTACGTCTTTACTTTTCATTATTCGGAAAGTGATGAGATTTACTGATTCGAACGAAAAATACCCAATTTTGTAGAGAATCGATAGACGAATCGATCGGAAAAGGAATCACGTGGATTGGATGAAATTTGAGCGAGTTATTCGAAAAATACGGAGAGGCTCATTTATTCTGCCGCACCCGTTATATACGTATCCGTTCAAAGGATGGGAAAATTCAAAGATAATAAGGAATAAAACAATCGGAAAGATAAGTACTTGAAGGTGACGACATTTGGAAAATACCTGGCATGAGAAGAAAACAAGGAACATATATAGATGTATTGTATATGCCTAGTATACGACACGATCGAAAGAAAGAAAAGAAATATCCAACATGGATGAAGGACATCGTAGCACCTGGATTTTTATTGCTCCCTACACACATGGTTTATTGCCAGTTTAGATAAATGATGGGTCATTGAGTATTATTATCTCTCATTCAGAACTCTGATTGCTAATTCAGTATTAATATTGCTCAGTCAGTATTTTTATTGCCGGAATTTGGTTATTGCTCGTTTAAATAGAAGTCCTTATTTTTGTTAAAAACGTTTTTTTCATTAGAAAAAAAATCGATTAATACTTTCAATTTCGCTATCAATCGTTGAGGAAATTTTTGCTAAACAGCGCTATCTATTCAAGAATTCATCCATAAAAAAATTTTATTAGGTAAAATATTTTACTCAATCAGTCTTTTTCTATTTCAATCATTTATTTCCCCAAAATAAATAATTTTCTAAAAATCTTATCGCGAAAAAAATTTTACTTGCGGTTCAAGATATCTTTCATAAGAGAAATATCTTATTGATTGAAAAAAAGTAATCAATGAAGTTTTTGTGAAAATGCAGATTTCATAGAACGATTGATAATTTGCACGTTTCTGAGTATTAAGTCGCTCAAACTTGAAAAATAAGACGTGAAATCGATAGAGCTCATCAAACTGCATATGGTTCCACTCCGTAGGCGAATTCGGACAGTTTTTCTTATCGATTTTGTGCGTTTTGGATTTTTACGGGGTAAGCGGGGTCGAAAACATTCGCATACGATTTATTACGCTTCGAATTTTTTCAAAGGTTACAATCACATCAAACCTACTGGACAATGTGAAGAACGCTCATTCTCGATATCGCATTGATCAAGAGCAACAAGAGCAGTTGCGAAGAAACAAAGAAATTGTCGATCAGGCAGCAAAATCGGCGAAAATTCAGTACGAACTTTTTGCCGAACAAGAACTGGATCTACTTGAAAAACAAAAGCAACTATAAATCGAGCTCAATCATGCAACACATCTATTCGAAGAAGGCAACCAACGACTTAAGGCGGCGATCGACGCAAGGAATTTTTGTGAAATCGAAACAGCTGGGATACTAATCGATAGTGGCAAGCGAGAGCTTACGAATATCAATACTGAAATCGCCCAGAACAACGATGCACTTAATCAATTACGAAAAAATCAGGAAATAATTTAAATGTTAAAGTTGTACATAGTAAATAAATGAAATTTGTGAAATTCTTTTCCTTTTACTTACTGGAACATATGCTCACAGCTAATGCGCAAGAAAGATAAGCGGTCTATTATTAAAAGTGAGAAGTCGTTTGTTGAACAGTGTCAGCACTTCGGTACTTTCAATAGATGTTGATTTTAAGAAATCAGGAAAATCAGGAAGACTAAATGAAATCAGGGCCTATCAGGATTTTTTTCAAAAATCAGGAAAGTAGTGCCGCTGCGACCCCTGCAAAACTCAAGAATGCCGTCATAATTTAAAACTGAAAAAACCGAGCCATATCCGCGCTATGGCATAAAAGAAGCCATGGCTACCATCGCAGTATACCATACAAAGATCACAGACTACCCTCATATTAAACGAGTTGATGACCTATGAGGACAGCTGTTGAAGACGTGATTGCTCTCATAAAACTGACTATAGCAATATATGTGGCAGACAAAAAGGTTTTTTTTTGAAAATCTTTGTAATTCCCCTCAAGGCTCGTAGGGCCATTTTTTAGAAATTTTACGATATCTCGGCCATTTCTTGACCGATCCTTCTCATCTTCGAATTCGAGCGAGATATTCATGAGACAAATCGGCGGAAGAAAAATTCCTGTTAATCACTCAAACTTTTGAGAGCTATCGGATAAAAGGACGTATGGCCGGACACGCTGACCGAGTTCAGTACTGCACTCACTTTTTGAGTACACATATTGGTTGAACTACGAATGCAAAAATGTAACATCAATGAGTGTAGAGAAAACAGCTAAAATAGTCATAACTCTGGGCTTCTTTGTTGTTTCTCACAACCGGTCAAAATGCAAAATAGTGAGTGAAATACATTTCTAGATTTTGCAGAATGAACAAGAAAGAAATGATTTTTTTTGTCAAATTTTAGTTTTATTCTACTCTGCAATAAACGATGTTAGAAATAACAAATATTAGTATTAAATTTCTTTTGAAATATGTAAGTTTCAAGAAATTGTTACATTCAATGAATTATTTTTTGACGACTAATTTCGAATTTTTGAATTCGATAATTTCCCCAATCAGCAACGTATAAATTTCCTTGATTATCCATTGATAAACCAGTAGGTTGGCGTAACTGATGTAATGCTTTTCCTGGTCCGTATCGACCGACAAAAACTGAACCTTCAGCATTTCCTTCAGTCCAACGCATTATCCGATTATTGCCCATATCTGATACATAGATTTGATGCAAATAATCGACGACTACTCCTCGAGGACTACTCAATTGTTTCAGACCATTCCCTTCGCCATTTCCACCAGCTGCAATAATTCCTTGTTGTGCATTCTTTCTCCATTTCATAACTCGATGATTTTTCCAATCCGACACATAGATAGAAGAATTTTCGTCAACAAAAATAAAAGTTGGACTATCGAACTGGTTCAATTCATCTCCTTTTCCGTTTCCACCAGCGACTACAATTCCTTCATTGTCTCCTTTCCTCCATTTTCTCACTTCGTTCTTCTGATCATCGGAAACATAAAGAAATCCATCTTTGTCCATTGCTAAACCATAACATGAAATATTGTCAATGAGTACTTCTTGCTTTACTTCATTTTGATAAAACTGCCATCGCAATACTCGTTTTCTATATTGTTCACAGATAATAAAAGAATTATTTTGTTTGTCAGCAATAATGTCTCTTGGGCCACTTAATTGCTCAATTTGGTCTCCAGTTTCATGCCTAATCACCATGATTTCACCGTCGTTCGCATCATATTTCCATTTAACAATACGGTTATTTCCAAGGTCGGTAATCAAAATAGATTTGTCTCTATCGATCAAACATTTAGAAGGAAAGTAAAGTTGATTTGATTGGTTTCCACCGCCATTTCCTCCCGCGACTGTAACTCCAATTTCGTTCCATTCTGATTTAATTTGTTCTATAAATGAAGAGTGATAACATTTTGTCAACAGCAAATTTCATAGTACTAATTTCATGCTAAGGGTTTTATGAATGAAGCAGAAATATAAAATATAAGGGCTCAAAAAAACGCAACTGATCAAAGAAAACTTTGACACTGTCGATTACTGACGGCTTCAATACATGATCATCTGAGATCTGATGATATCTTTCTTTCTCTCAGTGTGGTCAATGATTATTCAACAGAACATTTTTTTTCTGGTTCTACTCACTACTTGACTTACCTGGTTTTTCAGGACGCTGAAGTTCACTAGTACGAATCAAGGAACCTAGTAGATGTTTTGTTCATAGCAAATTGTTTACTAAAAATGCCCGCAACCACTTACGGATGGATAGTACAGCAAAACACGCAATAACAGCCAGGACTAATATGATAATAACACCGATCTGAATATAATAACACTTTGATCTGTCAGGAACCTCTCTTTTTATCGTTCGGCGGCGCACGCGAGTCCGTTGTCTATCTAAAGAATTGGCATGAGACTCACATGTTATTTTTCATTTCTATTACATCCAAAATTTCTATTATACTACTTGTAAAAAATAGGTTTTATTTCGTGCACGTGATGTTTCTAATCTATACCTACGAGATATTTCGTAAAAGTATAACATAATATGACCTGCAGTACAATGTGGCTAAGCATTAAAAACAAGTTATATCTCTGAATTTAATTCGTATAATCAATGCAAATTATTAACCAAGTAGCTTAAAATTAAATATCACGCATATTATAGTCTAAGAATTATAGCGGTCGACTTACTTGCTTGAGTGATTGATGGTGGTTCTTTTTGTTTTAACTACAAATGCGAATACAAAAAAGGAACGATGTATATTTTGTCAAAGAAAAACGTACTTGTTCGAGTAGTATACGTTCTTCAGTAGGTTTTCTTTTTCGCTCTTCCTGTAGTAGTTGAGTTTCTGTGTCGACGATTTGGTTAACGTCACATTCAACTTTCATGTCGTATCGTTCGATTCCATTTTTCGATGAAAAATCTATTATATAAACAGCGACTATAGTAAATTAATCTAATTCTATATTCTTTGAATTTTTATTTTTTTTAAATAGAGATCGAAATGAACATAACTGGTACCTGAATGATAATATTGTGCAGCTAGAAGATGTTTCAATTCGCTGAATGTGGGTCGATCATTCGGAAGTATAGACCAAGTTTTCGTCATGATTGACCAGAATGGTTGACTACAGTTCGATGGTTGAGATAGTGTTTCACCATTTCTAACTCGTCGAATAACATCATTATCACTATCGATGCTCGTCCACGGCATTAAACCTCCTGAATATGCTTCCCACATCAACACACCCATTGAATATACGTCAGATTTTTGTGTATAATTCTCTACTGAATCCGATGAAAGTATTTCAGGTGCTGCATATCGAATAGGAACTATGTTCAACACAGTCATAGCAGCACCGGGTGTCGTTGAATATAGTTGACTATATCGGCTAAGACCAAAATCAGTGATTTTCACAATAGTTCTTTCTGGATGATTTTCATCGAAATGAAAGACTAGAACATTTCGGCAAGCCAAATCACCATGAACAACATGATTTGATGACAAACATATCATTGCTTCAATAATTTGCAAAAACATTTCTATCAGAATCTTTTCATCAGGAACTATTGTTCTTTCTTGTAATAATTCATATAAACTTCCCTCCGGTGCATATTCTTGTACAAGTAAAATTGAATTGTATTGCTGCTCAAGATTTTGTCTATCATAAACAAAACCGAATGTTCGAATGATATGCGGATGGCGACTTAAATCGACGTAAAAAGATGCTTCTTTTTTTGCTCTAGTACTATCAATTTTTAATATAATTATTTCGGGTCGTTTATTTTTATCCACAACCCACTCAGCAGCATAAATTGTTTTTCCAAAAGTTTGAAATATAGGACGTCGTTTCTTTTTCTTCACATCAACGTCTAATGTGAATTTATAATTTCGTTGTCGTAACGATGTTTCAAATATATCGACAAGTTCTTTTACCGTACGATTTGGATATAATTGTTCAATAGACAATGGTTGTCGAGTCATGGGACTTGTGCCATTCTTTTGAATCCATATTTCGATCGCTTTTCTTTCATATGTATGACCATCTGGTGCTAAGACTGGGTCACGAAATAATTCCATTGAGATTGGACATCGTAATAAGTCATCCGATGTATTCAAACTTACCATTACTTATATTCTTTAGAACACTATAATATCAAAGATAAAACGGACTATGACTACTGTTTAATATAACTGAGGAAGTGATTTTATCCACAACGTGTTTTTGTCGATATTCTTAGATTTTGTGTAGTTTTACGTCACTCTAGTTTATTTTTAGAGATTATCAAAAGTATTCTGCGCAATGACGAATCCACGTACGATTTCGCTGTATTTGATTTTATCAATAGTATAGAAACTTGTTTTGAAAATCAATTCTAGGAATGTAATAGCGCTTTAGATGCTATATTATCCTTCGATATTACAGTAAAAAACAAAAGAAATAGAAAAAAAACTATTTAATTCTGAACCTTGAGAAAGAGCATATCCACGTCCCAAGATGAACAAACAGTTGACCACAGTGATAAGCACAATAATAGAAAATTAGAAGCTCGATAAAGAATTTCTCATAAATTCTCAGCAGCTAATTCATCCACCGTACTCGAAAAAGATTTTGTAATAGAATATAAGAAAACTGGTAGATACAAAGGACGATAGAGCGTTTCAAGGAGTATTAAATTCCTAGAATTCATTTTCAAAACAAGTTTTAATACTACTGATCAAATTAAATACAGTGAAGTATTACATCGCTTTCGTTGCGCGAAATGTTTTCAACAATCTATAAATATAAATCACAGTGACGTAGATTTACTTTATTTTCATATTGCGAAACTTTCAAAGTACAGAGTGAATCTTGTTTTTTCCCCCGAGTATATATATTTGAAAGTTTTAACATTATTATCGGCTATTTATCTTCTTTACCTGATTTATTGATTTCTTTTAAATGACATAAAATAAAAAAACACAAAGAGAAGCATTTTGTCTTTGAAAGAGTTAGTGTATGAGGGATATATTCTATGCTTGGACCATTTGAAACACATGTTTATGTAATTAATTTTTCTTTTTCAATTGTCAACTAATGTGAATCGCCCATTATACAGCGCTACAAGTGAAACAGAAGATTGATATGAGAAACAAATGACACCAATCATATGTTGCTCTTTGAAGTAGAAACAACATTTTATTGGCATATCTAAAAAATTTGAATAGAACAACCTTGTAGTCCATTGAAACTAAAGTGTCTTCGAAAAATAAGAGATTTCGACGAGATTACATCGACTCATACATTTCACATGATTGTCGACAGGCAACTATCGCGATACTCTAATACTTAGATAGCGAAAATAAATTGACATTCACCGCATCTTTTTGCATTGAGAAATAATCACTTCATTACTTCGCCAAAAATAAAAATACGATAGAGCTTGATCGATAGGAGCGATTTTGGTGTAATGACCTCGTTACCCAAACGGAAGTATATTCAACTGACGATACAACACATTCAACAACTTCAACTTGTTTTTTTTTACCTACTCGAGATTATTCTAAATAGAGGTGTCGAAATAATATGGTGTGAATAACCGTTGGTGATAATGTGAATGTATTTACTCGAAGAAGATAAAGTTACGATTGCTATTTAAGAAGCGCAATACCCAGCATAGATGGAACCGGTCTGAATTTTCAACGACCGGTGCCGGTACCGGTCTGAAAAAGTTAGACCGGACCGGACCGGCCGGTCTACCGGTTTTATCCGCCTACCGGTTTCTTACCGGTCTACCGGTCTACTGGTAGAAAAATCTTCGTTAAACTCACGATGAACACATATTTTAAACATTTTACTACAGTCCAGCCTGCCAAGGCTGTCTCTGAATCCTTAGTATACGCAATAAGGCGAAGATCGGACCATGATGCTGTATGATAAAAGTTGGAAAATGAAAAATTTAGACCAGTAGGCCGGTAAAAAAAACGGTAGACCGGCTGACCGGTAAAAACCGGTAGACATACCGGTCTAAACTCTAGACCGGTACCGGACCGGACCGGACCGGACCGGGCCGGACCGGGCCAGACCGGCCGGTTGCCGGTACCGGTTCCATCTATGATACCCAGTGTACTACGAGTATGACACTACTCGACTGCGCTTCTGTAATACTTTAAAACTATTGATTTTCATCAAACTAAGCCGCTGGTTTGTCTTTTTTCAATCTATTCAATTTTTCAAACAGGTTTTTCAAGTACTTGAAATACTTCGTGTGACGATTTCTTTTTCACATGGAAGCACTCAAAAGAAAGGTTCTGTTGTTATGAATTTCATAATAATGAAATCACTCATTCGGTATAAAAAGAAAATTATTGAGATATTGACTACACCGACTAGTGTCGATAAGCACAATATCAATATTTTATAGGCATATTTTTTATTTCTATAGAACAGTTTATATTTCTTGGCAGTTGAAAAACTTTAAGAGGGATATTGTAATACCAGATACTGAGTACAAATTGTCATCGATATATACGTAAGTAATGATGAAAATCTTGATCTTCTCGTATCAGTGTGAAGCTAACACATCGTTTGTTCGTGCTAGCTTCACATCGATTTCCTATCGTATACAAAACAGCTAACATCAATCTGACACAAGGAAACCGTTCACAACCCATGGGAAACTATGAGAACCGACCAATAGATCCGTAAAGACAAAAACTGTCCATCATATCACAATCAATTCCGTCTGAAACCATGGATACCCACACCCACACCGCAAACCGGATCCTTCTGAAACTGACGAACTCAATCCGTATAAATCCACAAGGAAACGGTCATAAACGGCCCAGAATCTAGAATATCCGGTACAATCCACTTTCTAACACGAATTTTCCTGCAAAAAACAACAAATCTCACAATACATCAGGTAAACCAAAAAGGTTCCGCAACAAATATCTAACACTTGATAGCCCATCCAGCTACATCTCATAACAATACAAAACCACCAAAACGAATTAAAACTTTCTATTTTGCAAACCAATCCATTCAATACATACTACATTCAACAAATGAAGATCGCCACGATCACATAAAACCACATCGCACAAGATATTATTCTGACAGAAGCTCATCTCAAAACCAAGAGCTCACAATAATCCTACATGCCTGAAAATACAAAAAACTACCCAACAATCGTTTCTGCTCATTCTTTCGGCATCTTGAGGGTGGGTGTGAGGGTGTCAGTGTGGTTCGAATCCAGATGGTTCTCTTGGGTTCCGTGTGATCGGGTTTGTTCGAAAATGACAGGAGATGTGACCGGAAAGTTCCGTTTTGTTCTGAAGGAATATGGTCGGAAACTATCGGCCTTTTCGAGATTTCTACCATCCGGAATGGTTTGGATCGGATGCTTCGACCTGGGTGTGTACGAATGATTTGCAAAGTCGAGCTAAATTACACTAAGTATGTTTCTAAACGATTGAGTTCAGATCTTTTTGACTATCAATATTATAAATGCTTTGAAAAATAATCACAAAAGAATTAATTAATTTCGTCAGGATTCATTTTTATGGAGACCTGCTGCACATACGGTTATACTCTTACATTGTAATTGTGAAATTTGACTTACGCAATGACACTCCTGATTCAGCACGTTGTCGTATAAAAATACACATGAAACGTGCATAAATTATTCGTTTATTTTTCTCTGATAAAACAAGCCACATATTTAGATCGAATAGTTATCAATTTTGTCAATAATGGAGGAAATCAACAACATCACAGACCAGTTGTGTTCTCTTCGTTCTATCCTACATTCAGATGATTGTCTTCAAATCTTGCCATCAGGAGATTATCAACAACTGCAAATAAAATTTGATTATGATATTCAAATAAGTTGTTTCTTTGATTTACAAAATATTTCAAATCAATCATTAACAATCGATAATTTACACGGTTTACGAATTATTAAATTATCGAATAAATGTCCATTAGATAAAGATCAGTGGACAAATATTCAGCAATATTTTAATGAACTTATCCAGCAATCAAATGAGTCAACATCCCTTGAATCAGTTTTTCAATCAATTCAAGATTATTTATTGAACACAATGACAAAGGATAGAAAATCAAGGCGAAAACAGAAAAAATCCACGAACATATCTTCAATAGAAGAAACACCAACGCCGACAAATAGATTTCGCCATTCAGATTTAATATTTAATCGCATTTTACACGATAAAACGATTGATCGATCACAAGTTGTCATTGGATATGAAGATCGTTTTACAGGTATTCACGAAATACCATTCAATGAATTCAAGAGAGTACACGAACATGAGGTAAAACCTGACTTCGCACTCATACTTTTAAAATATAGTACGATTATTTCTAGTATGGAATTCCATTGCATCGTATTCGTCATTTTAAAATCAATGGAAATTTTGCATGGGATCGAAGCAAACGATTAGATCTACTAACAGGAAGTCAACAACCAAACATCGCATCGAATGGTATGCAGTCTTTTTAAAAAATTTCACGAAAGAAAAACATGTTTCTAAAGTTTTATTTTTCAATATCATAGATGATTGTCGAAGTGTCAATCTTATCCAAGGACTTTATTATTTCGATCAATCTCTCCAACAATGGACTGAATGTCCACATATACCATTAACATCCGATGATCCAATAAATTCATCGACAAGTGAGACATGGTTACCCGAACGATGTCATTTCATTACATGGAATATTCTATTTGATTATTATCAATCAGCACTTATTCATAGTCAACAAAGATATCGATCAATATTAGATACACTTAAATCAATCTTACCCGATGTCGTTTGTTTACAAGAAGTTACTAAAACTTTTCTTGATCTTCTCTTAAATGAATTATGGTTTCAACAAAATAACTATTATATTATTATCACGAAAAATATTATTAATAGTAATGAAGAAAAATCATATGGACAATTGATGATTATGAAAAACTTTCGACCACGATCATTTGCAATATGTCCATTAGATCTTTCTGACGATGAGAATCTCAAATTACTAACAACAAAAAAACCTAAAATAATGAAAGAATTAATTATCGCTCGATTTGGTTTGAGTGCTAAAGTTACAATTGATTTAGTTAATCTTCATTTACACAGTGATTTGGCTCGTAATGCAACTGACAAACGTTGTCAAACTTTAAATAATCTCTTCCGAACAATGAAAACACATAGTTATATGCTTATTGGAGATTTTAATTTTGGAGACGCTCATTCAAAAGAACAAAATATTCTTAACACATATGAAAATGACATACATGATTTATGGAAAGAAGTTTATCGTCTTGATGAGGTAAGGATGACTTTCTACAGTTAGAGATAAATGTTAACTTATATTTTGTTAGGATCCTGGTTTTACATATGATCCATCACGGAATATTTGTGCTAAAATCATATCAGAATCTCAAAAAAGTCGTCGTTTAGATCGATATTTAATTCACACACTATATAATCTATCTTATTCAATTGAAAATCTTTCAATGATTGCTATTGATACAATACCAATCGATAATAATCAACAAATGAATCTATCTGATCATTATGCATTAGATTTAGTTATGAATTTTCGAACAAGATCTATAAGTCATCGTTCTGCACTTGTCATTTTACCAACTATAGATACATGGCCAATAATTGATTCATTTTGTGGATATTATGATTCATCTACAAATCATTGGGGTTCACATATTAATTTATTATGGCCATTTTATAATTTAACTGATTGTCATGATCATGAAGAAATTCTTTTAAAATTAAGACTTCTATTATGTCAATATTCATTATTTTCTATTAAAATAAATGAAATTGATTCATTTATTGAAAATAATGTTAGTTTTTTCAAATGTGACGAACAAACAACAAATCATGTTAAAGAATTACGTCAACAAATTGCACAAATATTTCCACAATGTTTAAAAAACAATCGAAATACTTATTATCCACATATGACAGTTGCTCAATTTGACAGTCATGAGGAATTCAGTCAAGCCAAACCATCATTAGGTAAGTGATCGTCGGAATTCTTTGTATTGAATAGAATTTGATTTATTTATTAAGTTTTAAATGAATCATTTGAATTTCCTGTTCAATATCTTTACATTTTACAACGACCACATGATAATGATACAACACCATTTCATATTGCTCATCAAATTCCAATCGGCCATATACTTCAATCAATAAATTATAAACAATTGAATTCTGTTCATATNCCGAACAATGAAAACGCATAGTTATATGCTTATTGGAGATTTTAATTTTGGTGATGTTCATTCAAAAGAACAAAATATTCTTACAACATATGAAAATGACATACATGATTTATGGAAAGAAGTTTATCGTCTTGATGAAGTAAGGATCACTTTATACAGTTAGAGATAAATATTAACTTATCTTTTGTTAGAATCCTGGTTTTACATATGATCCATCACGGAATATTTGTGCTAAAATAACATCTGAATCTCAAAAAAGTCGTCGTTTAGATCGATATTTAATTCATACATTATATAATCTATCTTATTCAATTGAAAATCTTTCAATGATTGCTATTGATACAATACCAATTGATAATAATCAACAAATTAATCTATCTGATCATTATGCATTAGATTTAATTATAAATTTTCGAGCAAGATCTATAAGTCATCGTTCTGCACTTGTCATTTTACCAACTATAGATACATGGCCAATAATTGATTCATTTTGTGGATATTATGATTCATCTATAAATTATTGGGGTTCACATATTAATTTATTATGGCCATTTTATAATTTAACTGATTGTCAAGATGATCATGAAGAAATTCTTTTGAAATTAAGACTTTTATTGTGTCAATATTCATTATTTTCTATTAAAATAAATGAAATTGATTCATTTATTGAAAATAATGTTAGTTTTCTGAAATGTGACGAACAATCAACAAATCGTGTTAAAGAATTACGTGAAAGAATTGCGCAAATATTTCCACAATGTTTAAAAAATAATCGAAATACTTATTATCCACATATGACAGTTGCTCAATTTGACAGTCATGAGGAATTCAACCAAGCCAAACCATCATTAGGTAAATGATCGTCAAAATTCTTTGTATTGAATAGAATTTTTATTTATTTATTAAGTTTTAAATGAATCATTTAAATTTCCTGTTCAATATCTTTACATTTTACAACGACCACATGATAATGATACAACACCATTTCATATTGCTCATCAAATTCCAATCGGTCATATACTTCAATCAATAAATTATAAACAATTGAATTCTGTTCATATAAAATTACAAGAATTCTTTCAAGTAATGAATCTCTATGAAACGAATCAATCATACAAAAGAAAACAAAAGAAATTTGAACAACTTTCAACGTGTTTTCAACAAATTTTCAATGAAGACACATTACATTGTTTTACTCATTCATTTTTACCATATGGAAGTTTTCGTATTGTAAGCTAAAACAATTAATCATATAAATACTTTGATGTATTTTTGTTGATAGGGTATTAATGGACAAGATGTTGATACAATATTTCTTCTCAATGAAATCGAATCAATGAATAACGAAACAACATTTGATGAAACACTTCGTCAATTAAAACATGATCCGAATGCATTGAATAAATATATTGTTAATATACTTGAAACACAAATTAATGAAAATTTCAAAGATGAAATCATTTACTGTATGAAAATTGAAGCATTATTTCCTATTATATCGATTTTGTTTACTGATCAAACAAAAGTGGAAATATTTGTCCAAATCGAACTAAATCATGAACATAAAGTTGAAAATGATTCACATCTTTCAAGATCTATACATGGGGTAAGACAATAAAAATTTAATTTCAGAATTTTCCGATTTTTATTCTTTCAGGTGCACGACATGGAACGTTTGCTTGTACATGTTCGTTCGCCACCTATCTTTCAACATCTTCTAACATATATTCGTACTTGGGCTCAACACAATGGTCTCTATGGACAAGTATATGGATACCTAAGTGGTTATGCTTGGGCTATTCTCTGTGCACATATTTGTCATCAATATTTATCATCAATTAAATCTCTCTTGTCAATCGAAGAGTTTTCCATTGATGAATTTTTCTCATTAGTTAAACATTTCTTTGCAACTTTTGCACAATTTAATTGGTCGACTGATGAATTTAGTCTTTATCCAAAATCACACGATCGAATAAGTTCGTCGGAAAAACTATTAGTCTATCAACGTGGTTCAATGCGTATTCTGTCACCAAGTCCACCTTTTCATAATGCAGCACGTTCAACAAAAAAATCGACACGGGATTTGATTATTCAAGGTTTTCAACGTGTTGTACGATTACTTGACTCAATAGAAACAATTACAACTGAAGATAAATTAAATGGACTTAAGGAAATAATTAAATTTAACAAGACTTTTCCTAATGAAAAGATGAAATCAATTGTTCAATTTACAATTTCAAGTGAAAATACGAACGAATTAGATTCATGGATTGGTTGGATCAAATCCCGTTTATCGTTCTTTTTCAGTGACTGTGAAGAAACATGTCATTATACTTTTCAATCACAAAATGCAATAGAATATCAATCGAATAAGAACGAAGCACGGTATGCTATTGCTTTTCATGTTCAACCAACAATATTACAACAATGTCAACAATTTACTATTTGTTTACAAAAGTTGAGTGTTCAACTGAATTCATTTTCGAATCGAACACAATCAATGAAGTTTGATCTGAAAATAATGTCAATAGATAATTGGAAACTTGAACAAATGAAACATAGCGATAGATAAGTTGTACTCGATGTTTTTCTTAATAAATAAATCAATCAAATTCTCACCCGATAATTCCCGAAAGCATCGCTGAATAAGTATTTAAAGAAAATGCTTCGAAGAATCTTTCAACAATATTCTTAATTTTCCTCCAGAAGTTTTTCTCCAACGTACTTTGACGTTGAAGACCATATTGTGCAACCCTGTGTTCAATGTAGATATAGTACCAACTCTATCAAAAATCAAATCTTACGATGCCTGAATGCCCATGACTCACAAGTACACAGTCAATCATTCCATCGACATTTTCTCTCTTCCAAATATTGGCTGATTTGTTGTTGAAAATATTTCATACGTAGATTGAATTGTTCTCGGTAAAGAGGAGATGGGATCACATATATGATAAAAATCGAGGCCGCAGGAATAAATGAAAGAAAATAACCATTGAGAGAAGAGCTAGATAGCGGCCCCATGGGTTTCATAAAAAGCACAGCGAGTCATAGAGAATTGTATAAACGATTGGAAGACACTGATTGATTCTATATAATAATGTGCTCATATTTCCTGTTTGCTACAGTAGAATACGAGCTATTTTTGAATGCATTCCTATATTTCACAGTGTTCAGCACATCTAGAATGGTTTCCTTATGACGCCAAGGGCTTCAACAATGATTTGGATGAGTTCCACCCTCGCTCCTCAACATCTTCGAACTCGACTGACAGAAATATGGAAGATTATTTTGAAGACGACCGGCCACACAGCTCGATTTCAGTAGTACACTCATTTTTTGTGCACATGCGTCATTTTTTTTTGTTTTTTACAGCTGACGATCACGCACCACCAAAATATTTGGAGTGAAAAAAGGCTTGTTAGATTCTCGAATAAAGTGCAGCAAGAAAAATCAATATTAAGTGGCAATCATCACGAAGACTTCTTGTAAAAGAAAGATTCAAATTATCAAAATTTATTTATAATACACTAGAAATAATCAATGTTGCTTCTCAGTCGAACCAAACAAGCAGCGTTGTATTCAAATCTCTGCACTCAAATGTGATAGATAAAACACTTCAGATGGAAATGAATTTACTTGGCAAAATGTTTCTATAAATGAAAGAATTCATAATGTATGTTAATCATTCGGTTGCTTTTATTTATTATAATCTTTATTCATATCACATTTTCGTGAAAATTCTGAATTAATCGAAAATGTGTGATCGTCGTTGGTTAATTTCTGCAAAAACATCGGATTTTGCTATGGTAAGGAATACAAACACCTGTAGCAAAGTCATGTATCCGACACCAAGTTCTGCATGTGGCTTGACTTTTTGGATCGGTACCATCGCAGTAATAGACACGACGAACAAGTGATGCATTATTGCCCACATTCATTTCTATACACGCATTATTCAACTCGATATCAATTGAAATCGTTTCTCTTCTTACTACTTTCTGCACTTGTATTGGATTGATTCATCGCTTCTACTGTTATGAATACGACAGCAATGAGTACAATCACTATGAAATTCTTGTAGCTTGACATCTCTAAATAGAATATCTTATTTGTGATTGTTTTCGTATATCATACTTTTAAGTATGCACTTACTTCTCTTTGATAGTTTTGATGGCTTCTTTTACTTGTAAGTTCCAAATAGAACATGAGTTTTTACAAGAGATTGACTGTTATATATATATATATATATATGTATACTATCAATACAATATNTCCACTTTTGCACAATTTAATTGGTGCACTGATGAATTTAGTCTTTATCCAAAATCACACGATCGAATAAGTTCGTCGGAAAAACGATTAGTCTATCAACGTGGTTCAATGCGTATTCTGTCACCAAGTCCACCTTTTCATAATGCAGCACGTTCAACGAAAAAATCCACACGGGATTTGATTATTCAGGGTTTTCAACGTGTTGTACAATTACTTGATTCAATAGAGACAATTACAATTGAAGATAAATTAAATGGACTTGAGCAAATAATTAAATTAAACCAGAATTTTCCTAATGAAAAGATGAAATCAATTGTTCAATTTACAATTTCAAGTGAAAATACGAATGAATTAGATTCATGGATTGGTTGGATCAAATCACGTTTATCGTTCTTTTTCAGTGACTGTGAAGAAACATGTCATTATACTTTTCAATCACAAAATGCAATAGAATATCAGTCGAATAAGAACGAAGCACGCTATGCTATTGCTTTTCATGTTCAATCAACAACATTACAACAATGTCCACAATTTACTATTTGTTTACAAAAGTTGAGTGATCAAGTGAATTCATTTTCAAATCGAACACCATCAATGAAGTTTGATCATAAAATAATGTCAATAGATAACTGGAAACTTGAACAAATGAAACATAGCAATAGATAAGTTGCACTCGATGTTTTTCTTAATAAATAAATCAATCAAATTTTTACCCGATAATTCCGGAAAGCATTGCTGAATAAGTATTTAAAGAAAAATAAACAAATTTTCAAAGTCATATTTCGAAAAATCCTTCAACAATGTTCGTAATTTTCCTCCGGAAGTTTTTCTCCAACGTACTTTGACGCTGAAGACCACATTGTGTAACCCTGTGTCCAATGTATATATAGGGCGAACCCTATCAAAAACAAAATCTTACGATGTCTGAATACACAGGCTCTTGTCGTGAACTGTGTAATCTGTCTATGTAAGCAGAAACAAATAATGCATCTCTTTTATCTAATTAATAAAATTTCATAGACAGTAACAAATATATATGATAAAAATTAATGTCGCAGGAATCAATGAAAGAAAATAACCACTGAGAAAAAAGCTAAATAGGGGCCCAAAAGTTCTTGGATCCGATATGCTTCATAAAAAGCACAGCGAGTCATAGAGAATTGTATAAACGATTGGGAGACACTGATTGATTCTATGTAATAGTGTGCTCATATTTCCTGTCTGCAGCAGTGGCAGAGGGCTTCAACAATGATTTGAGTGACTTTCATCCACACCCTCACCTCATCACTAGTCTGCTAGTTCTTTTTCGATGTTCCCTAAAACTGCGACAGATTGATGAGAACTTTCACACCTTTTTCTAATACGAAAGCACGTGGGTGAAATTTCATCCAGGTCATCCATGCACGGTCTCTGGGTGGCCTGTTAGATTCTAGAATAAAGTGCAGCGAGAAAAATCAATACTAATTAGATGGCAATCATCATGAAGACTTGTTATAAAAGAAAGATTGAAATTATCAAAATTTATTTATAATATACTAGAAACAATCAATGTTGCTTCTCAGTCGAACCAAGCAAGCAGCGTTGTATTCAAATCTCTGCACTCAAATGTGACAGCTAAAACACTTCAGATGGAAATGAATTTATTTGGGAAAATGTTTATATCGATGAAAGGATTCATAGTGTATGTTAATCATTCTGTTACTTTTATTTATTATAATCTTTATTCATATCACATTTTCGTAAAAATTCTGGATTAATCGAAAATGTGTGATCGTCGTTGGTTAATTCCTGCAAAAACATAGGATTTTGCTGTGATAAGGAATACAAACACCTGTACTAAAGTCATTTATCCGACACCAAGTTCTACATTTGGCTTGATTTTTTGGATCCCTACCATCGCAGTAATAGACACGACGAACAAGTGGTAGAGTCAGTTGGGGCAATTCGGATCACCTTTAGCATCTCTTCTGTATTTTGACCAATACTTTTTTTTTGGATAAGTGCTATCGATGAGATCTTTTCACCAGTTGATAGAGCATGTTCAGTTCTAGTTGTGATACAAGAATCAGCTTTCTATCACGACTAACAATGAAGAACGAATCAAAGAATTTTCAATCACTCCCATTTTGATCCGAATTACCCCAACTGACTCTATTTTATCCTAAGTTAAAGACACATTTGTACTAAACAGTTCGATTTTCTGAGAGATCCAGAGAAGAGAACTCGAAACAAATATATCAATAGGTTTGTATTGGCTCTAAAAGTTGATAGAAGATAGAGATTGATCACGACATGCTTTTTCGTATTATGATATATATACAATCATAACTAATAAAGCGAAAAATGATCTATTGCTATTATTACTTGTACGTACGACATTCATCTATTTATTTGGGTGCAGTTTGATGCATTATTTGCATTGGATTCTAAGATAGGTTCATCGAGTTGTTATATGAGCAAATACAATTTGCTTTATTTAGGTGCTGCCTGGATTCCTGTGCCAATTGTTGATACAATTGCTATTTCGTCGATTCAGACGCCCATGGTCATATCGTTGTACAAGTATTGGGGTGTTGCAGGCATCGATCCGAAAACATTTTCCATTGTTTTTCTTAAAAGCTTAGCACCTGTTATAGTCAGTTTGGCAGCTGGTTACTCTGTCTCCATTGTTTGCAAGTTTTTTTTCGGTGTTGGATCAATTGTTGGTGGCGCGCTAGATGCAGCCATTGCATCATTTGGAACGGTCATTATCGGTTGTCTCGTCACTCTTTATCTTTTGCATTATGTTTATGACGGCTATCAACTCATGAACAAAGATTCGTTGGAAGAGAGTATCCAATCATTCATGAAATCAGAAGGCTTCAAAAATACGATAAATGACCTAAAGCAGTTGACCAAGAATCCGAAGAATCTTACAAATAAGGCCATCACTGATGTTATAGATACAAATAGAAGCTAAACGGACTGAAATCAATTAATCATTGTGTATTTTTCGCAAATTTTTATTTGAATGTAAGAGTAACCATCGAAATCAATATAGTTCTAACAAGAACATGGATATTTAAAAACAGGGTTACCAACTGTTCAGGTCTCAAATGGGGTATCAGAGAGAAGAAATGGGGTGCACGAGAGGTACAGCTTTCGTTCAAATAGGGTACACACGTGAGGTACAAAATTTCTTCAAAAATATATTAGATCTATCTGANCACCGAACAGGGTTACCAACTGTTCAGGTCTCGAATGGGGTATCAGAGAGAAGAAATGGGGTGCACGAGAGGTACAGCTTTCGTTCAAATAGGGTACACACGTGAGGTACAAAATTTCTTCAAAAATATATTAGATCTATCTGAAGAAGAAGTTCACAAAAAGAGTTATTATTACCGGAAAACCATTTTCTCTTCTCTCTCTGCAAGATATGTTGTGAGATGCTTGTTTTCAGACGAAAAAAGGTCATATAAATAAAACCGGTTTCAATGTTTCTTAATGAAAAAACCGGAAAGCACAATAGTTTTTCGATTTTCTTCAAACCGGTTAAAATAGCGGCATGTAAATTTCTCAAATGTAAGGAGTTTAATTGATTTATGATCGACTGTGACTTCTAGGAAGTCGAGAGAAATTTTAATCAAGAAGACTAGTCAATGACAAACGATGCTGCTTTATTCCATAGTTCACTCATCAGATGATGGAATTCCCGTATTGTCACAACTACGATAATACTGCCAGAAAACCGCGGTTTCTTTTTAAATTGTGTTGCTTTAATCACTAATCGATCAGTACTTTCACTGTCAAAATCGTACACCGTCCACGATCTTGTAGTGAAAATCAATGAAAGTCATCAGCTTTAGCAACATATATATTTATAGTTTATCATTAGTCTAATTACTGACTTGCAGAAGAATCATCGACTCTTTTTTAACCGCTGAGACAGAATAGTTTAATACGGTCAGTTTGTTTAACTAAAGTGATATGATCGGTTAATTGTTACCACCTTGTTGAAAGGGTTCCAGAAAATTGTCGATCCTGAAAATAACTTGCGAAATCATCTCTTTAAGAATTGAACCAAATTCCACGATAAATTTCTGAACTTTTAGGCGATTTTGACGACGTGGTTTTACATATCTCTTCTCCGCGAAATTCAGGATAGAAGTTGTAGCAAAAATCTGTTCTAGTTTTTAATAAAAAGATGCTATACGTATTGTTTATAAGAGTGTATAGAAGAATGTAGAAATGGGGTACAAAATGCGTACCCCAAAGGTACAAATTTTCTTGGGGTGCAAAATAGCAAAATGGGGTGCTGTACCCCCAAATGGGGTACAGTTGGTAACCCTGTTTAAAAATAAGCTGCTGAAATTTCTGGAAGAAGAGGATGTCAGGTGTGCTTCTATTTTGTGACTTTTTATTATGATACATATTTAAATTGTTCGATGAGTAAGGCTAGAATACCAAATATGTCATTACAAGTCTAACACAACGTTGGCTTTATATGCAAATTACATTTCTTCTTTTTTCTGAGATGATAAATTTATTTCAAATGAAATCAAATGTATAAAAAAATAGGTAAATTTTATTTTTCGTAATGTAATTTCTCTTTATTAACATTTTGAAGAGTAATTTTCAATAATCCTTCATTAATTTTTCAAATAAAAACCCTTTTCATTCTTTTTGTCAATTTGGATCAACATTTTTAATTTGTTTCAACTGATTTATATAATTCTGCACTGTTCAATGACTCACCATCATAAATTCCTCCGCTAATCAATACTTTTCCATTGGTCAATACGGATGCTGTATGTCCCCCTCGTGCATTATTCATTTGACTGATAGATATCCATGTTTCAGTTGATACGTCATACAATTCAGCAGTATCTAGAGGATAGTGATCAAATCCACCTGTGACTAGAACGTTTCCATTGCTCAATATAGATGATGTGTGTCTCCATCTGGAGTGGTTCATATTTCCAGTGATTTTCCATATTCCTGTTACCGAATCGTATAGTTCAGCACTATTACGATTAAAATTATAATTGAATCCGCCACTCACCAAGACTTTTCCATTCTTTAATTCAGTCGCCACAAATTGACTTCGTGTATAGTTCATACTGCCTGTCTTTGTCCAAGTTTCCATTAATGGGTCATACAATTCCGCGCTATTCAAACGATTAAAATTCGTACACCCACCAGTAACGACAACCTTTCCATTGATCAATACAGATGCTGTGTGTTGAGCACGTGGACTATTCATGCTACCAGTAGCTGTCCAAGTTTCTGTTAGCGGATCGAATAGTTCAGAATTGTTTAGAAAATGTTCATCAACACTTCCGCCAGTAATCAATACTTTTCCACTTGTTAAAACAGATGCTGTATGTTCAGATCGGGCATTGATCATGCTGCCAGTTAGTGTCCAAATTCCTGTAGATGGATTATATAGTTCACTACTATTAAGAAAGCCTTGATTGTTGATTCCACCAGTGACTAATACTTTTCCATTAGATAACAACGACGCTGTGTGTTCGGCCCGTGCAATATTCATGTTGCCGGTCGTTGTCCAAGTTTGTGTTAATGGATCGTATAATTCAGAACTATTTAGATAATCCTGATCACCAAGCCCACCCGTGATCAATACTTTTCCATTCGCTAACACAGATGCTGTATGTGTTCGTCGTGCATAATTCATATTACCGGTTTTAAGCCAATCTAAATGAAAATGTTTTCACTGATATCAATTCAGTGCAATGCTCACCTGGCTGCTGAGAAGTTGTCGTCATCACTGTTGTTCGTGATGTTTCTACGGTGATAGTAGTGGTTAATTTCTTCGGTGTAAAAACATAGAATTTGAAAATTAGAGCAGAAATCATTACAAATACTGTTAAAACGATAAGAGATATACCAATAAATTTGATCCATCGATGTTGCCACCACCGGTTATAACGCATATCGTATTCCTCTAAAAATACTAACAAGTTGTTGTTTGAATTCACTTTGTATACATCTGTGTCACTCGCAAAATCAACAAAAGATAAGTCATACTATTTTAAAGATGATAATTTCGATTAAACTCTGCTCTTTATGTTGATAGCTTTAAAAAGAAGCATTTAGTGACATGTGACTATGAATAGCTTTTAATAACAGTTTTGGCTTATACGTTCGATTTATTGATGATATTTTTATTATTGTTAATTGGCCAAAACAACATTTTCTCAAACAGATTGATCGATGGAATACATTAGATTCCAATATAAAATTGTCAGCCAATATTAACTCAAAAGCTGATTTCTTAGACTTGCATATAGAAAATCAAGATGGTTCCATCTTTACTTCTATTTATCATAAACCATCTTATCAACCTTATTATTTTCCATTCAATAGCGTTCATCCTTTACATATGAAGAAAAATATACCTTTTGCTATGCTACTAAGAGCAATAAGGTACTGTTCAACATTTGAAGAATATCAAAAAGAACGAGATCAAATAAAAATGGCATTACTTCTCAATCAATATCCAAGTCAATTTATCGATCAACAATTTAACCATGTCTCCTATATATAAGATATTAAACAACAGATGGAGATTACCCATTACCATAATATTCGTCAAAAAATTATTAATAGCCCATTACAAGTTAAAGAACCGATTGATTATGGTCATAAAATGTTTATTCATTTTACTTAATGTTCCAATATGAGAAATTTTCCTCAAAAATTCCATAATCTTTGGCTCAAATACTTTTCTGAATCACCAATTAATGATATTACGCCAATATTAAGTACACGTAATTCTAACAATTTACAACAATGTCTAGTACAAACTCGTGATTCATGAACAGACATATTCTTACACATCTAGATTGCCCCTTATTATTTTTGTTATTTTTGTTTATTTCAAACTCTTGTTTATTTTTTATTTTTTTATAAATGCAGAGCCCTGATGAGTGTTTTTTATTTCTAACAATAAGTACACGAAACGCGTCGGCGAAGCAAATTCTCCATTTATTTTTCATTAGAAATTCATTAATTATATATCTATATATTATTTGGTGTTGAAGATCGATTGCTGAAAAGTAAGAGTTGAAATTAGCAGAGTAATCTGTTTCATATTGACTTACACCCTCACCCACACCCTTCTTTTAACATAAGATATGAAATGATAAACATAATTATCCTCAGTTGATATCATGTGCTGCATGTGTCTCTTTAAAAATCTTAAACAAATAAAAAATGACAAATTGTCTAAAAAGAAGAGTAGTGTAGAGACTGTTAATTTGATTCAAGTATTGAACTTCTTCGAAATGGAAACTTCTAAATTGCACTCGTAACGGAAATTGTTCGCACAATCATCATGCCTTTTGTGCGCTACACAGTTCCCCCAGCAATCGCTGAAGCAATCTTATGGTGTTATACGCTCTCATCTATTACCCAAGCCGTCTAAGGTATCTTCAGTTTCTTGTCTGCTTTCATTCGTAATCCATAACCTCACCCTCACACCCATCCTCGTCAGAGTTTGTTCTCTTACTTGAATTCTATTTATCCATCGTCTTTGAATGATTAATGCAAATAATTCACGACGAAAACTTGGAGCTGTTAATGTATAAACATAAAAACTCATCTGAAATGACACAATCAAATATGTTCAATTTAAATATAAAATAAATTCTTAATGCATTAAATATAAATGTTCCAAAACTTTCTGCCGCAATACGATATGCTGATTTACTTGATTGTGGATCGTATCGTGTAATTTTCATATAAACAAATGTACTTACAAATGGTAATGCTGTTACAGTATATAATATAACTTGTCCAATAAGCATAGTTGCAAGTTGAAGATGTCGATGACGAACATGAATTCTTTGACGAGCAATTCGTATTGAATTTTGTTTTAATTTCCATAGAATTAACCCACTTAATGTACTCATCAGTAGAGCTGGTGTTCCCAAATTAAATGCAAATAAAACTGTTGTATCAATTATTTTTCCTATTGCTGATGAAGTCGTACATGATCGTGTTTGAGGAAATGCATTATAAACAACTAAGACATAAATTGATAAACAAACACAACTAGTAACAGTTAATAACATAACTTTAACTGCAATATTAGATCGACAAAATGATCGTTGTCGAACTGATTGTGAACAGAGTAGAAAACGATCAAAACATGCTAAAACTACACATGCTCGACTTGCTAATTGAGCTGCAGTAAGACTATAAGAACGAATTTTACAATATGCTGAACTGTAGTTTAATAAATTATAATTCATAAAAAAATCAAGCATACTAATAAATAAACCCCATGTTAAACAACATAAATTTGCACATGAATTTGTACGCATTGAAGGACGAAGAAATATTGCTATATTGAATATACATCCAATAATATCTAGTGCAAAAAGAATTAGTTGACCAAATCGTTGAATTCCAATACGAGCAATATTTAAAGTAACTACCGATGGATCAATTGTTATTACTGTTGTTGAAATATTAGAGGTCATATTCAAATTTGTGTGAGATTCTGAAAGATACAAAATATTTAAAAATAAAGAATTTCTCAAGAGTTTTTTTTTGCGCGTGTAGACGTTATATACACAAAGAAAAACATCTATATAGTGTCAGGAAAAGATCGATGGATTACAAAACAAACGTATTGATAATTAAAAGTAACGAACTATCAAGCAAACAGACACAAATTTTTCTCAATTTGTTTTTAAAATAAAGTATTTTTTGATCTAAAACTTCCTCTCGCATTGATTGATGATGATCAACATTTTCCATTATTTCCATTCAGGAGGAGTTCATATTCGTATCACATCTCCAAAGAACCGAATTAAATTAAAGAAAATTCTTTATTCTTTATAAAATAAAGTAACACCCCTACTACTAACCCCTATTGATATTTGAGACAATGTTCGATGGTTGTTCGCAAAACTATAGACTAATTTTTATTTTCATCATCACGAATAAAGAATAAAATAGATGAGTACGGAAATAATGACTGCTACAATAGTTATGACGATTATAAATCTAATAGATGTATTTTTCCCTCGACTGAAAGGAGGGTCATGTCGAAAAAAAGTGGTCAAAAAACAGAAATTCGTTTGTGTGTGTGTGTCTGTCGCAGTGGCTACAGAGAATCGATATAGTCAATCAGTAGCGATGCAGGCTTTGAAAAGATTGAAATCAACCGCGATGGTGGATCGGAGTGAAAGGAAGGGTAAATGAGAAGATATAATCTACAGGTTGACGTGTCAAAGTGGCTATGGAATCTATAAATAAACGACTGGAATGGAGAATAAATATCAGAGTAAAAAAAGTTAATCAAACTCCTATTGCAGAAATCAGATTCCGCAACGTCTTTGCGTACAAAACTGCAACCGACGTAACCGTGTTCTGCAATGGAAAACCGGAACGATAAGGAGCGCAAGTGTCGAAATTTTGAGCATGTTGCTTTTTCTACCCAGTAGAACTTCTCCGTATGTCATGCGTTCGCCATAGATATTTCGTATTTGTCATCGGATACTCATGCTAATGGCATGTACTGAAAACGCCTATATACCTGCACCAGAACTGCTGCTCCAAACAAAATCTCAACTATCACTCAGAGAGCTCTTTAAGACCGTTCCATATCACACNGAAATGAGTAATACCTGTATATTCAAGAAAAACCCTGTCCTATACAACCACTGCCCACTATGCCGGGCACCATCTCACACAAATGCATGAGAAATAGCGCAGATCTTGATTCGCATGGAACCAAACGGTCACTCATCGCTTCTACCACACTACCTTAGACAAAGACTACTGCATCCAAAAAATACCCTCAAGATAATTGAGAAAAACCAAAACTTCTTCGAATCTCAAAGTAAATGCAATTCGACAACACACAAGCAGATTCTCACATAAACACCATCAAAACTAAATCTTCATTCCTATCCACAGAGTAAAAATACCGATCCTTCCAGTTCCCCGCTACCCG